CTCGGCTTCGTCTGACTCGGACCCTTCTGCATCAGTTTTTCCATTTCTTTACTTTGGAAGATGACGTGAGGTGGCGAGGTGGGTTGGCCCCCACGTTACGAGTTATCGTTTTCTTGCCTCTTCTCTGTGTGTACTCCTGGGTTTGGAACTGCATCCCTGTCTTCTTCGAGTTACCAAAGGAAGACGGAGATAAAAGTGAAACAAAATCAAGAATTCAGATCCGAAAAGAAAATTAAAAAATAGAAAACAAAATTGCTAGCCGGACGAGCGGCTCAAGGCCGATCGCCGGGAACGAAATCCAAGATCAATGTGTTTAAGATCGTCCTAACTCTGATACCATGTTAAACAATTCAAAGAAATAAAGAAAAGGAAAAAGGAGGCTAGGCTTTCATTTATTCTGCATAATGAAATTGAGTACAAAAAGATGATTTAACTTAGAAACAAAGAGACTATATATAGGCTAAATAAAGGAAATTGAAAAGACTATTCTACCCTTAATAAACAATAAAATAAAATAATCATATATTTCTTAATAATTCGCACTTGCAATCACACTTCCAGCTTGTTCTTATTTTGTATATATGTATGTATTTTTCGTTCTGCAAATTAGATTTCTAACAATTTGGACATTGATCCGAGTTTAAAAAAATTGCCAACCTATTTTTGATTAAAAAATGTGTTTGTGTATAAGAAAATTTGCTTGTTACATATCAATAATATATAATGTAAATAATAAAGGGTTCCTTTCTCAAAATCATCACATATATTCGATTGTTATCAACGAATAATTGCATCAAAATAAAAGGCAAGGCTATAATCTGAATTTGGAGTTTACAACAAATAATTCTTTTGCTTGCTTTTTTCCCTCTTTGTAATCTGGAGTTTTGCAAGAAGAAGCATATATGGTAAATAAATTATTTGAGAAAGAATCATATTTGTATTTTTATTAATTTATTTTTTAGGTTTAAAAACATGATTTTAATATTATAATCTTCTTATAATATAATTTTTAATTAGCCCTTTAATACTAATAATAGAAAATTCTTATTTGACATTATTTATGGCCCTTCAAGTATTAGCAATTACAAATTAAACCTCATTTGTTCAACTTAAATCCTTATTTGACTGTGACTTTAACTATTTGGATTTTTACTTTGACAAAATAATTTTTTGGTTGCGGCTATAATAAGTGGGGTGTAACACTCTTCACTCTATGGGTTCATAATAGATGCCTTGAGATAAATAGGCAATATTTTTATGCATTTTTAATTGGAGAAATAGGAGGAATGATGCCAGAGTAAAAACATTTTAGTTTTCACAAGTCAATTATTGTTTTGAAAATCAAGACTGAACATTTTTTTCTTGC